GAGAAATTCAGGAATGAAAATGACGTTACATACGAGGTTGATGCATTTGTGCATGTCGTACTAAGCAAGGTATAAAAACAGTTGCTTTATGAGGAATTAGTTCGTACCATTGAATATTTGACGCAATAGACAAGGTGTCGCAGAAACCGATGTTGCTATAACCAAGTTTTACTGTAATTTGTTAACCAGATTTCTTGAAGAATTTAAAGCAATGTTCCAACAACTCACTCAACAAAACAGCATGATATTAAACATGCTATCAACGTTAATATCTAAAATCCATTGAATTCCTCATAACTGCACTATGGAACGCCAATGGCCTTCTGCAGCAAAAAAATGAACTAGAGATATTCCTTCAACACACCTTCATAGACATAATGCTGATAAGTGAAACTCATTTCACTGATAGGTCATACTTCAATATGCCAAAGTACTTAACACACTCTACCAATCATCCCGACACTACAGCACATGGAGGAACTGCTATATTAATAAAAAGAGCTATTAACCATTATGAGCTCCCAAAGTACAAATTAAATCACCTACAGGCCACAGCGATAAAAGTAAAGATGACCCAATACGAGTTAACTTTTGCTGCAGTTTGCTGTCCACCAAAACACACCATCAAAAAAGAGAATTTTAATGATTCCTTTCAAACTCTGGGACACAAATTTGTAGCAGGCAGAGATTATCATAGCAAGAACACCTTATGGGGGTCTCGCCTAATAACGACCAGAGGCAAAGAATTATCAAAAACATTACACAAGAGCAAAAATATTCACACTTGTCAACTGGCACGCCGACATACTGGCCAACAGAACCCCTGACCCCTTGGACTTCTTCCTTACTAATGGAATTGCCTCAGAATACATGGATGTGGTACCCAGTTTCGATCTCTCTTCAGATCACACACCAATCATAGCCACTGTCAGTAGTCATGCTGTTCACAAAACATCAAGAAGTAAACTGCACAATAAAAACACAAATTGGGAAGAACACAGGATGAAACTGCAAGAAGATATAAATCTAAATGTGAGACCCAAGAGCCCAATGGAAATCGACAGCGCACTGACCTCTCTAATCAACAATAAAACAGGCAACCCAAGATGCTACACCTAAGATCACTTTCCAAAATAACACAAGGAATGTTCCAATTGAAATTAAAAAACTCACAGCTGAGAAAAGAAGAGCAAGAGCGAGGTGGCATAGGAGTCATGCACCAACAGATAAAACAACATACAGCCATACCAGTAATGGGCTGAAGTGTAAACTTAAAGAGGCAAGAGACAGATCCTTCTGTAACTATATGACCAGCCTCAACAGGTATGACAATACCATCTGGAAACCCACCAAACATTGTGGGCAAGAAGTGATGAAGAAAAAGCAGCTATGTTCGCTGAATGTCTTGCTACAGTTCTTACACCATATGATGACCAGACTGATAAAGAAATAGAAAGACAAATGTCTGAAAATATCAGCATTATACCAGAAATAAAATTTCCTACAGTTAA